GTGCCCAACGTCCGGTCTCGTTTGGTGCAGTCGTTCCTGGAGATGGTCGACTTGGCCGTCTAGTAGGCGATGGTGACCTCGTTGAACCCTCGAAAACCTCCTTTCTGAAGAGTGAAAGGCCTGACGAAATGTACCGACTAGGCACCCGGCCCTTTATGTGCTCTGGGTGGTTGCTCCGGCTGTGCGTTTCGCGGCATAGTTCGCGGCTTTCGCAGATTTCGCAGATGCCCTGGAAAAGTGTCCGCAGCATCCGGCCTTTCTGAACTCGGGGCTGGTGCTGGTTTGCTCGGTTTGAAGTCCGGGGACCCCGGCGAGCCGGGTGCAGAGCGAGGGTAGGCTGTGTCCACTTGCTGCGGCACTGGCTTTGATGGCATTGACGGCTTCGGCTCATCGGCATCAGTGCTATGACGGGCCACGCACTTTGCACCCTGCCTTTCACGAAGCCAGGCTGCAAAGTCCAAGGCGGTTGCAAGCCAATCATACCTAAACAACGATGAACAGAACAGCAAAGCTGCTAGCCGTGTCATGAGCCAGAGTAGAAAATAAGCAATGAAAGGCACCAAAGATATCTAAAGATCATCAAAGCCGCAAGTGAAGAGCAGCCTCATGAACATCAGAAAGACCTGCTCCTGCACTTGGCAGGCTATCCAATGCCTGCTCTGCTCGCGCAACCTCCTTGTCGAGTATCTGCCCTCGCTGAAGAGCAAATGGAAACTTCCTCAAAGCACTGACGAAGTGTCCGGGCTTTAGCAGTACTCGGCGCGCTTCTTCCCACGTCGCAGGTGAAGGCACAGGTTCCGAATCCAATCCCGAATATTCGCAGTTGACAAGCTGGAGGACAGCGACGACAACAGCCTCGACAGGCTCGGGAACTTCCGTTAAGCCTCTGAGTCCTACCACAGCCCTCACAGTGATCCTTTCCAGCGCATCCGAAAGCTTGGACTGGAGGTCATGGTCTCCATCCTCAACTTGTGGGGAGGAAGGAACCTCCGCCTCCTTCTTTGTCTCCTTCTTTGCTCCGGCCGAAATGTCATGCAGAGTTGCCTTACGCCTTGCTTCCAGCCCAGCTTCCAGTGCCTCCACGGCATTGGACCGGCGATCTTCGATAGACTTCGACCGCAGCTGGGACCCCAAGAGGCTCATCTCCTCCACAAGTGTCCGGGCACGCCTCTGACGGGCATGCTCGGCACCGTCACCTGAAGCAAAACCAAGCAAAACAGTGAACAATCACGATGCTGCAGCGTATACAAGCTCTAGGACAACATCGAGCTGCAGCTTTCTCCTGCTTGCCCGAAACCCTAAACCCAAAACCCTAAACCCTAAACCCTGTTAACTACTGTTGTGCCGTCAGATCGCCGCTGTCGTAGGCCATTCGCTCAGACAGCCTCCGCAGTCGCTCCTGATAGCAGAACGAACGAAGCACAAGTGGACACCTTAGGGTTTAGGGTTTAGGGTTTAGGGTTTAGGAATACCGAGATGAATTCTCGCAGGCAGAAATTCAGCGACGAGAAGCCGAAAACAAGCGTGCAGCTGTGGCTGTGGGCATAACGACGAACATGAGAGGGTCCTCCTCGCAAAGAACATCAATCGGTCGAATGATCCGGCTCATCACCTCGGGCTCGGCCCTTTTTCCCACTCGGATCTGTCTGTCCCAAACTACGGCATGCTCAAAAACAGGGGTTCTCAAAAAGACTCTGTGCTATGTGTGTGCAGACGGGAGGCGACGTGTACGGCAGAAGCCTTGCGAAGTCGAACTGCTTCAGCTTGTGCCTATGCACTTGTTCCGCGTCGTTCGTGATGTTGCTTGAGTAGTGCGTCGGTGAGCCGCGTTTTAATAAAGTGATCGCAATGAAGTTATAGTAAGGCGTTCACGATATTAGAAGTGTGTTATTGTAGTTACTTCTCAGACGGTTAAGATGTTAAACGTTATTGCCAGTTTACTAATGAAATTCCAATTACATTATGAGATAGTTAACCCAATTTATACATCCTTGGCCCGTTCAGTATATTTGCAACCTTTAAAATTTATTTTTTTCAGGGCCAGTGGGTGCTATAAGCGAGCCATTTCTGCGACGCACAATGCCTTGAGCCAGCTGCGTCGTGTTGTGCCAGAGTTGGAACTAGGCCATGAAATACATGAACGGCCAGGGGCCTGCTGATCAGTGACTCCGCGGCGCTGCAAAGCGCACTGACGGGAAACATCGACCGCGAAAAGGCACGGAGCATGCGTGGGTGTGGTTGCCCGGGTATGGGCGTACTCGTGCGTACTCGGGCGTACTCGAGGGTACTCGGGCGTACTCGGGCAGCAGTCCGTGAACGCGAAGGTGGACCAGCATGATCATAGAGCATGATGAAGGCAAGCAGCCCAAGTATCGCTGGCAGCTATGACGATCTGTTGCAACCATAAGCATGTGGGGCCATGAAGGGCCAAGAGCTTTGGATGGTTTCCAAGGGTTTGACAGACGTTCCCGTAGGGTCTCCCGAACAATGGGCCCCAGGCCACGGATTCCCTTTAGGAAGATTCTTTCGCAACTGGTTGAAAAAGGCAAAGAATTCCCAAGTCCCTGGCCACATGTTTTTCATTTTGTATTGGACCTTCTAGCTGCTTGCACACGCGCTTGCGCTGCGGGAACGCAGGCGCGGGTTCCAGCAGCTGGCAAGCAGCTACTTGGTATGCTCATCGGATTTACGCTTGAGCGCTGTGGAGGCCTCCAGTGTGCCAGCTAGAGGCCCCTTCAAACCAGCCATAGGAACATCGGCACGTCCCTGAACTTTGAAGCGAACACAGCACGAAGTCCACCGCCCCACGGGCTATTGGCTATTGCATTGAAAGACTGTTGATTGAGAGCCTTTCCAACTAACATGTGACATACTTGAAAGACCGGCTTGAGTCAATGCACATTTTCACAGCTCTTGCGCAGTAAAGCCTTGCTGTACATCAATTCTGCGCAACTGTCGCGACGAGCATTGCTTACGACAGTTCGCCAACGTGCAGCAAGAGAAGGCACGATAAGTTTATAGGACATCTTCGCTTCGGCTGCTTTGCAATTCTTAACTGCTGTTCCCTGAATCAAATCCCTGGAACTTGCATGTGTTTTGCTTTACTTCTTGCAAGTTCTGCTCGAAACGCCTTTGGCTGGCTGCACATGTTGGCACAGCGAACGAGAGCATGTGAGCTGTGAGGACCGCCATCACGCAAGCTCCTGAGTCATGGAGAGTCCTCGGACAACAACCGCCTTGTACTCACTCTCCAATCTCCAAAGTCCGCAATGACAAGCAGGAAACCGACTCTTAACTGGACAACCTTGCGAAGCCTGCTCAATGCCAATCACTGCTTCACGCAGCACATGATCTTGTCTTGTCTTGGGGCGCTGCCGTGGCAAGAACTGCATTGGACTGCATGTCCCGAGCGGACTCCTGCAAAGCAATACCGCGTCGAGGCGCCGATAACTACGGTGCTTCAGCTGGCCATGTGACCCGGCTTGCTAGAAGCGACTTCGCGCTAACATGTTGTGAGAAGCATCAGTCCTCTAGGATGCGCTGCAACTCGTCCTGTGCTTCGGCAAAGAGAAGAACTGGGAGAGGCCACTCTGGGGTTGGGCACTCCAAGGACGCTCTGGGGTTGGGCACTCCAGGGATGAGTGAGGAGTAGACTGGGCGAGGAGAAGAGTTCCGGGCGAGGAGAAGAGTTGAGTTTAAACCTAACAACCCCACACCGAGGGTGGGGAACAACCTAACTTGTCATCGTCTGCGAGATTTGGACACATCTGATCCAGTATGCCGACGTGTTCGAACTCAGATGCACTGTAGCAGGGAATGAGGGTGCCCCAATATATATATATATATATATATATATATGCTACCCCGCCCCCCCCAAAGATCCACCGTTTTAGAGACTTGCAATAGACAACACAGTTCCCATAGCATATTTACTCGTTTCTCCTGACGAGACGAACAAGCACCTGAAACATCCTGAAAAAAAAAAACATATCAGTAAAGTATGTAAACAAAACCTCTGGCGTACGTACCTCTTTCACTAGTCTTTCACTCAAAATCACCCTAAACCCTCGTTATATTAAGATATAACAGCACACAACCACCTGAAGCACCCTGAAAAACAAAGATGCAACCGTAAAGTATCTAAAAAAACTTCTGGCGGTCTCAGGGAATAGTGAAAGAGATGTTTGCTCACAGTATTCTCGCGTCCCCGGGACTTACAGCAGATGATTTTGTCGCATCACCTTATGCCTTCTCCAGTATGTGTGTTTGATATACAAGACTTATAGGCATAATTTTACGGGATTTGAGGTTTAGGGATTTAAGCCTCAAGCCCTCCAGGATTATGAGGTTCTACTCCTATAGACAATGCCTATACCTTAAACCCGCCATAAGCTAACTTAATGCTTGTGAGCAATGAGTGAGTGAGTCGGTGGTCGAGTGAGTGTGGGTTGATGCGTCAGCGGGTCAGTGAATTTGTGGTGGTGTGAATGAGCCAGGGAATCCTACAGCCAGAGTATGGAGAGGAAATGAGTCCGCGACTCCCAGATTTAAGTACGGAGTGTTGAAGATGGCGGGCTTAGGGATTTCCTGCATTTAAACTTTTAAGAATCTACGTTAAATGCGGGCAGACCCCACGAAGAACCAAGAACTAAGAACCAAGAACCAAGAACCAAGAACCAATATGCTCAGGACTCTTGATTCTTGGTTCTTGGTTCCTGGGGCTGCATTTAACACTGCATTCAAAAATTTAAGTTAAATGCAGACCACCCCCAGGAACCAAGAACCAAGAACCAAGATGCTCAGGACTCTTGATTCTGGAATCTTGGTTCCTGGGGCCAAGCTGCATTTCAAGCTGCGTTTAAAAATTTAAGCTAAATGCAGACCACCCCGGGAACCAAGATTCCAGAATCAAGAGTCCTGGGCATCTTGGTTCTTGGTTCTTGGTTCCTGGGGGTGGTCTGCATTTAGCTTAATTTTTTAAATGCAGTTGTAAATTCACAGGGTCGTGTCCGCATTTAACTTAATTTTTTAAATGCGGTTTAAATTCGCGGGGCCTCGGTCAAGTAAATAAAGGTAATGGTGTCGTGTGTCGTCTATTCTCATGTGTTTGGATATTAAAACATAGAAAAAGTAAAGTAGCACATCAGCAACACCGCAACAACACATCAACACAGGGAAAAAAGGGGAAACAGGGTGGATCTTTGGGGGGGGGTTGCCATATATATATATATATATATATACATACATACATACATACATACATACATACATACATACATACATACATACATACATACATACATACATACATACAATACATACAATACATACAATACATACAATACATACAATACATACAATACATACAATACATACAATACATACATACAATACATACATACCCGTTAAGGGATTTTATAGGGTACTATATATATATACATACATACCCTATGATGGGCAACAAAGGGTGGCTCCTCGTAGTCTTCTCCAGCTTCTCGCGCCGACTCTGCGAGGGCGCGGCGCAGCATCGCCTATCCACACGGTTTAGGGGTTGGGGTTTAGGGTTTAGGGGCTTTAGTCCATGCCCTGGTAGAGTCGCAGGCGGCAATAGTCTGCAATGGAGAAGGTACTTCGGCGAGATTGAACGAGCTTGGCAGACGAATGGCTGCCGAGACCCGAAAGGAACTGGGACCAGAACAGTGTACAAATGCGCGCGCAAATGGGGGTTTCCGAAATTAGGGGTACCTTATTGGGGTCCGCATCCTAAGGGAATCCTACTATTTGGGCGCCACATGCTTGGGCTTCTGCCCGTGTTTTCTGCGAAAGACCAAGCCCAACTGGTTCAGAGCGGGCGGAGTGAAGCAGGAACCTAAAGAAAACTGTCTCTCAAGAACTTGGCCAGTGCCTCGAATGCCTCGAGGCTCTGCAAGATCCGCCACCACAGCTCGGAACAAGCTACCATGACAACCCTGCAGGAGAGGTGTGCAAGGGCGAACAGAATGCAGAAAGTCCATGGCTAAGACTGCATTGCCGCCATAATCCAAAGCGTCGTCAACGAAAGCCCAGCAGCCCCGTCGTTGGTTCAGCAACTTGTTTAGAGAGCGCGCCAGGGGCAAAGCCAAAAGTACAGGGTTTGAAGCCGAAAGGCGTGAGGCTTCCAAGCCAGCTACAAAAGAGAGAAGGTTGGGAAGGTTAGCAGGATGTTGGGGCTTCTTCGCATTGAGCAGTAGCATGAAAGCCAGCCTAGGTCTTCCAAGCTTGCAAAGCGCCCGCAAAGCTTCATTGCAAAACGTCCTTCTGTCGAAAAGGTCCATGGCCACTTGCCAGTCCAAGATCGTTGTTGCCTGGAGCTCGAGAGCATATGCCCAATGCCTGGCGCGGGCACACGCCCAGGCTGCTCCATGTAAAATCCAGCTGTTGGCCTGCAAAGTGCGGTTCCGCATCAGTGCCAGGAGAGCCAAGACTTGCTTCCACATCCTCATACGGCCACAAGCGTTGACAGCGGCACCGAAAGTTGTTGAGTTTGGCGTGAGTCTGCGCTGCATCATCTCTGGCAGCAGACCCATCGCTATCTGCCAGTGCTTGGCATGGCCACATGCGCTCATTGCT